TGGGACAGCAGGGCCTGGTCATCCTAAGGGTGCGCTGCGGGTGCTAGGGTGCAGGGATGGACCTCCTCCATCAGCTCCTTGTCCAGCCTGTTTTCCCCACACAGGACTGCCCTGGCATGCAGCCTCCATGCTTTGGAAGCTGCTTTCCCAGCTTGGTCCCAGCAGCCGCCGTGCCCCAAGAGAAAGAGGAAAACCCCCGCCTACGAAACCAGGCGCAGATCAGCTCCCAGCACGCTGAGAAGCTGTGGATGCCCCATCCCTGGGAGCGTTCAGACACGACCCCGCGGGTGCCAGGGCAGGGATAAGGCCGACGGCCCTTTCTCGCCACGCTCCGTACGCCCTGCAGCTGTGCCGGCAGGTTCACACCGGGACCAGACCCGCAGGGCGCAGCCGAGGCGACACCACCAGAGCCCAGAACACCACCAGAGCCCAGCAGTGGTTTGGGGGCGGATGACAACCACCCACGGGGGTTTTCCATGCCAGCAGCACCGCAGGCTGCCCCCAGCCACCTTCAGACAGCAGCACCCTTGGGACACAGTCCTCGAACACAGGTGAAACAGAGCTCAGCACAACACGGGGACGCAGCCGATCTTCCCAGGGGGATGAACCCAAGGAGGGACCAGCCATGCTCATTCACTGGCTTCTCCACTTCGCTGCACCTTCCCCACACGGCCAGGAGTCAGAGCTCTTGTGCAAGGCTCCCCAAGATGGCTCTTACAGCTACGGTGTCCACCCAAACCCAAGAGCTACAGCAGGCGAGTCTAGAGACCACTCTGCCCCCACGAGCACATCCCCCACGCCCCAAAACCTCTCACACTTACTGCAAACGGGTGGTATGGGGCAGCTGCGGCAGCCCCTCGGGCCCCAGGGCCGGATGGAAGCATGGACAGTCCCGTCGAGAAGATGCCCAAAGCGCTGAGGTTTAGTCCCGGGATCAGGTTGGCTTGTTGCTGGGAAAGCAAAGACATGGAGAAACGAGTGAAAGGCAGAGCGGGGTTTCTGGTGTGGACGTGACAGGCCAGGGCCAACCCTTGCCGTAACGGATCACCAACACCCCCCAGTTTTCTCCTGGCCACCTCCGCGGTGGCTCGGAGGCAGGGGCACGCCAGGCGGGAGGGCTGCGAGCTTACGTTGACGGCCACCACGTCGTTCTCGTAGGCCTCTCGCAACTTCTTCATGATCTCCACCTCGGCGCTGGAGCAGGCCTCCGTGCTGCCCTTCACCGTGATGGTCCGCTCGGGGTTATAAATGGTTAAATCCTGCAAACTAGCCCCCAGAGAAATCCAGAGACACGGTTACTGGTTTTTTCAAGTTAAAAGAAAACTCAAATCAAAGGTGACGGTTCCCCCGTGAGACGGCATGTGGGACCACACGCTCTCTCCCCCTGCCCACCACCACCATCCCCCTGGGGTGAGGAACACCCACCCAGGATGGGCAACGCTCACGGGAGGATGCACGCCGTTTCCTGCCTCCAGCGCCACGCCTACCGTGCTGGATGGCGGGGGGGGGGTTGGGGTGGA